AAAGTTCTAAATTACTTAACTGTCAGGTTGGTTCCCTAATCGTTCCCAGTGGTGCAAAGGACGCGATGAGGAGTTCTCGATCTGGCAGCTACGATTTGGCAAGGAGAATTGACACAAAGGGTTATCTCAACTTTTATATACTTAGAGAATCCTATCTTGATACAGAGCTGGGCACGGTGAAAATGGCGAGTTCAAAAGCCTACTTGCAGGAAGCCCAACACTGACCTAGCAATAATTAGCACACAGTCATAAACAATTGGTTCTGATACCGGCCTAACAGTCCTACAATTACATAGCGAGGCTGAACAAAAGTAGCTACACGGAAACGCTATTAATTCAATCAATTTCCACATTAGTACATCACCGTGTTGTGGAGAAGAAAAATCCCTGGGCGAATCTGAAGGTGACCTGGCTGTTGCCGTTGAGTGCAGTACACTTTGCAAAAATCGCTGAAATTCGGAGAGCCGTCGTTGGAGATCCTGAACGTGAGTGAAAAGCGAGGGTGTTACGTGAATTCTTCTTTACAATCGTTGCTTCGGCGGTCGTCGATAGACGCGGTGCTAAAATAGTCTCTTCTTAGCAGGACTTCGTCGATTAAAACACGAGGATGACTTTATCACAATCGTTGCTTCGGCAGTTCGCGCCGGTCAGCATGCGGACATATTGATTAGTACAGACCCTGACGACCCATACGTGCAGATCAGCATGCTTAAGCTACGTTTGATTCCTACGATCTCAACGTAACCCTTGATTAGGCTATGTTTTTCTTTTATCGTAGTGTATGAATGACTGGAACTATTCTTGCTCGGGATCTATGGTCGCGAGAGTATATATTTATCGTTTATTAAACTCAAAAAATTCTTCTTTACAATCGATGCTTCGGCGGTCGTCGATAGACGCGGTGCTAAAATAGTCTCTTCTGAGCAGGACTTCGTCGATTAAAACACGAGGATGACTTCTTCACAATCGTTGCTTCGGCAGTTGTCGATAAACGCGCGGCTAAAATAGTCTCTTTGAGCAGGACTTCGTCGATTAAAACATGAGGACGATTTCTTCAAAATCGTTGTTTTGGCAGTCGTCGATAAACGCGGGGCTAAAATAGTCTCTATGAGCTGGACTTCGTCGATTAAAACACGAGGATGACTTCTTCACCGTCGTAGCAAGTCTTCGAATCACTGCACCGACCATCAGCTTGATCACACTACTGCCGGATGACTCCACCTTCCACTCTGATCATCCGCACTCAACTGCCTGCGGTGGTGGTGGTGCGGAAAATTGGAGAAAAAACAAGAAGTGGCACAGAGTGGCCAGAAAGATGAAAGAGAAAAGGAAGTAACAGTAGAAGACGAAATAGGCGCAATGCGCATAACTAGGTTGAGTTTTGGTGCTTTGGGTTTTTCTTGGGGTTGGGGAGGGGGGCACCCGTCAGGGCTTTGGATGGTAATCGTGGACGATCGGTGCTCCTCTTATGAATTGTTGAATATTTGTTATTATGATTATTATTTTTTTATTTTTCTTATTTTATTTATTTTTTTATATTTTTTTACTTTTAATTTTTTGTTTTTTTTCTTACATTTTTTATTTTTTATTTATTTATTTTTTTTTGGGGGGGGGGGAAGGAAGAAGGAGTTGATGATATGATGGATAGATGGATGAGGGTTGGGATGGATGATGGTGACGATGATGATGAAGATTGCTTGATATTACCGTTCGATATGAATGAAGCTCGATAGTAACTTCTTTTTGTTTTTTGTCGTAGTAAGTCTCATCTTTACTGTGCGTAACTCTCGGTGACATTCGTTAGTCCGTCGGTGTGATGGTGTCTTAAACGGTGTGTGATGTTTTTGGACCAGCCACACCCATCCGCATTAAGAACAACTTCGTCTGGGTGCAGCATGGTCCGCTGTGTATTTATGTGTATAGTGGTGGGGGTGGAGACCTAATGCTAGTGTTCTGGAGCTCTTAAGGTTAAATGACGAGTGTTGTCTAGCAGTGGCTTCTGGGAGTATAATTAGTTGATTGAAGAGCTGGGGGTCGTAGGTTTTGACGGTGGACCATGTTTTTACGTGCTTGTTGGTAGAGGACTGTGTTTATGGTGGGGATATCAAATTGCTCGTGTAGTGTTTTTGAGGGTATGAAATCTGACCAGTGTATATTGGAGATGAATTTTAGGGCCTTGTTTTGGATTTTATGCAGTTGTGATATTGATGTCTTGGATGTGGTGTTTAGAGGTATTGGTGGGTATATTAGAGATGATCTGACAAAGGTGAGGTACAGGGTGCGTTTTATGTTTGGTGAGAGGTGATAAAATCTGTATATTTTCTGCAAGTTTCTGAGAGCTATTGCTTTCCTGATGTTTATATGAGACCTNATCCAGATGTGTATAAGAGACAGGTTCTCGTATAGGGATATGAGTTGTCTGTTAAGTGCTAGTGACGGGCCGTGTATGCAAATGTACTGAAGAGTGGATTGGTATTGTGTTTGTATAAGGAGTGTTTCGTGAGTTGGTTTGATACCGGAATTATTCGATGTGTTATGGTCGGAATTGAAGTTTCGGTGGCGTTTTGTACGTGTTCTGTCCACTTTTTTAAGTGTGTATCTATTTTTTCTAGTGTTGGGTCAGTCTGTGTTGGAACTGTGTGTTGCGATAGAGTTTGCTTGTATAAGGTCCAGTTTGCTCTAAAGTATGATCTGCGAGGACGAATCGGTATTTGAATGGGATTAGCGGATATGGTGGCTATTTTGGGAATGTGATCGGATGGTGTGATGGGTCCAGGCTTCAGGTGTATGTTATGGAATGCTTTATTGTTGTGTAAGACTCTGTCTGGTGTTGTTGTGTTGTTGTGACTTATGATGGCGGGAAAGTAGGGGCCAATGTGGATGCATTTGCGCTGGGCTATCAATGTGTGTAGTTGTCTGCCGATGTGGTTGGAGTCGCGGTTTCCTAGTGTTGTGTGCCTTGCGTTTAAATCTGCCATTAGGTACACGGGATGGGGTCTATTCAGTAGAGTGTGGAAGTCGATATAGTTTATGTAGTTTGCGCGTGGTGGGAGTACGTTGTTCCAATTGTGATGGGTCCTTGTTGGGTGTCTACTGTGATGGCTAGCATGTCTGTATAAAAATTGTCGTGAAGTTTAAATGGAATGTGACGTTTAATTGCTATGGCAGCGCCAGCGTGTATTGTGTTTTCTTTGTTACAGCTGTGGACGTTATAGTTGAATATCTTCATCGGGGGGTTGTTGTCTGTGATGGAGTGGCCGTTGATAAGTATGATGTCGGGATCGATGTTGTTATAAATGTTTGCTAATGTGAATTTTTTGCTACGCCAGTGTCGTACATTGTGTTGTAGTATTTTAAGTGAGGATTGCGGGGTCATTGTGGAGGTTTGAACGTGGATTGTTTGTTTTTTTGGTGGTTATGGTTGAGTGTTTGTCCATGTTTGAGAATGTGTCGTGAGGTATGATGTTGATTGTGGGTCTGTTGAATTTTAGTTTGTCACGTCTAAGGTAGTCGAATATTTTGGAGGAGTCCAGGTCTTTCACCGAGAGCTTCAGTCCGTATTCCTTCTTCCGTAGTTCGTCAATGTACCAGATGTTATTAGGTGTTGCAGGGACTGGGTTGGGGTCTTTGTCGCTCCTAAACAGTCTGACTGATATCGGTTCGTCGTGTCCTGTCATAGAGATGGGTGATTCTTTGTATTGCTCGTCACTCACTTTACGTTTTCGTTGGTCACGGCGCTCAAGCCGCGCTTGCTTTATATAGTCCCGATCAACCGCGTAGACCGCACTCGTTTGAATCTCTAACGGTCGGCTTGAATCTTTAACGGTTGTATGCCCAATTTCACTTCCATCATAATTCATCCCTCTGATACAAATAGAGTTGAGACCCCTATTAATTCCTATACTAATCAAGCATCCCGACATAATGATTAGTACCAGCACTGACGACCCCAACGAGCCAGTCAGCGTCCCGACATAATGATTAGTAACGACTCTAAAGACCATAACGTTATGGTCAGCATGTGGAAGCAAATTTATGATTTTTGGTTGTCATTAGGAGTGGCTCTCGGTTGGATGATCATCTGTTGAGGACAGATGGATAATTAGTTACAATTGATTAACCATTGATACTTGCCTCTACAGTTCACGTACGTAAAGTGGTACTGCCGGCAAATTAAGCCAACGGCGGAGAAGCTGCAGGTCGACGCTCAGAACTTCCCTCTGGACGTCAACGCACAACCCATCCCAGACCCCCAGACAGCTGTCGGCAAGACCGGCGGCGGCTGCTTCGGTGTAGGCCCTGGTGGGTGACATAGGCGAGCTCTGTTGTGTGATATGGGCGAGCTCAGATGGGTGATATTTCATCGTAATTTTAAATTGTTAAAGCCAAATTTTTTCAAATAGTGTTTAGATATAATATTTTTCTGTCTATTACAGGAATGCTTTCATTCAATGGCTCGTCGTTGAGCTTCCAGCTGGCTTCATTTTACTTGTCCGAGGCGACGTTCGAGTTCACCGTCGTCGTCCAGAAGGACGAGAGACGAGCAGCAGCAACACTAGAGCTCGAAGTGGTGACCCTGCCGCCGCCTGAGGTGGCCATAAGGTATGTATTGTCTGTCTAATGTGACCCAACCGCCGCCTGAGGTGGCCATAAGGTATGTATTGTCTGTCTAATGTGACCCAACCGCCGCCTGAGGTGGCCATACGGTACGTATTGTCTGTCTAATGTGACCTAACAGCCGCCTGAGGTGGCCATACGGTATGTATTGTCTGTTTAATGTTGCACAACCACCGCCCGAACTGGCCAAACGTTTAATGCATATAATCCGACTGCTGAGAATCCTAGTTGAGTGTTTAAGTCGGCGGCAATTATTTCAATTCAGTTCAAGATACATGAAAATTTGACCATTTAAATTTTTCTGTTCGAGTGCAGTTTATTCAACACTTAAGTCATTATAACTCCTTGTAGGTGTGCGTTACCTGGACTTTGCCTAGCCCAGAGCGACGGTTTCTTGGTAAACCCGGCGCTTCGCCTTACTCTCGTTGGCAGCTGCAGCGCCTACTGTTCCTCCACCCTCTACTACAACTGGGAAGTTAGGAAGGAGTGCGTACAATAGTGATATATAATGCGTAAAATAGTGATAAACAATGGGAACATATATGATATATAATTACCAGCACGTATATAACTCGGCGATGCGCCTCAGCCTCGTTGGCAGCTGCATCGTCCTCTGCGCTGAAAAATAATATCATTGGAGTGCGCAAAAAGAAAAATAACAATTGCTAATTGTAAAGGGAACTATCTAGACTAGCTTCTATTTTTAGATAGTAATTTGAAACTCCAGGGTCATACATTGATCTTCAAATCAATGAATTTCTCAGCACTCACAAGGTTGCGTTGGTCCGTACCTACGAATAAATGGCATAACGTTGCTGCACAAAGACCTTATTGCGTTGATTTCTCAGAAAATTTGTGTTGCCTTCACAGAAACGGCGAGCTCATCGTGATCGACCAACCGGACTGCGAGCCGGCCAAGTCCGTATGTCAGCAAAGTAAGTACGAGTTCATACTTATTGCTTATGATTATTTCTTTTCAGTTTTGTCATTTGCATTTGCATTTAGTTTTTAAAAATAACACTATTTTCTCTGCATATAATTATAATAATTCTTCTCTTATACTAGTTATTTCTTCAATTCGCTTAACCAAAGAATCCGGGGAACAGCATTAAAAATAATATGGGAAGTAATTTATATCTTTTCAAAATGCAAGGTTCCTTGTTGAAAACATGAGTCATGGCAAATTTGTAGACATGAAAGACCAAGTAGAATTTCAAGGTGATTGAATCATATCGAATTGTCTTGTCTTATCAGAATTTGGTTGAGTAATCTGCGAAATAGAACTATACGAAAATTGTATCCATCAATGAAATTTATTTATTCTAACAAAGAAAAATTCGAATGCGAAGATTGTATATGAATGAAAAAAATTCATTTTAAGTGTATTTATTGTTATCAACGTAGCTTTTCCAATATTTTGAGGAAGTTTTTATTGGAAAATACTATTAAGGAATTTTGATTGATTGATTTTTATTCACAAAGGAGCTCTAGTTACAATTCAAAAGAAAAAAAGAAAAACATATATAAATTAATAGAGACATCCAAGTGAATGCCCATAAGCAGAGAAGCATCGCAGGCAACAGAGGTAATATAAAACTCTATTCCAATGATACGGCAAAAAAGTTAAGAGCAACAGAAAGTTTCTAAATTAAACACATACAAGGAAAAAAGCCTCAAGAAAACTGATAACGGGATGTCACTAAAATTAAGCGTAACAAAGCAATATCAATATAACAGTGATTAAAGACGGGTAAAAACTTGAAATATTTAGTCAAAAATATTCAGAATCTGCATGACAAACGAAGTCAAATTGATACTGGTCAAGATTAAATTTACGGAATTTCATTTTTAAAAGTAATTTGGAACAATTTTTTTAAATCTTCATGCAATTCATTAAAATATTTGACGCAGTTAAAAGCAGTACCGCTTTTTTCTTTTTTCATATATTTTTTTTGAATATAAATGTTTACAAAATTTTACATGGCAAGCATCATCACTGTACTTTCACGAAAAACATCCGCCAATTATCGCAACAAAGTATGATCTATATGGTGTAATTGTCTTTACATAAACTATTTAAACTTGACTGTCAGTGTGTCATTATTATGAGCTTTCAGTATGTTTTTTTATGGTATCTGGTAGTTTTCTGGTACCTATCAAATAAGTCATTAAGCAGGAAATGGTAGAAGCTCGGTAGGAAATATACAAGGGTTTCTCTAGTGAGTATCCACACTTAGAAAAATGAATATGTCACATTGTCCAAATAATGACACATATCCTGCGCGAAATACTGATATGTCATTTTTCCTGGCAAAACTGTACCAGGATGAGCCATACAAGACCAAATAGAGCATCGATATTTGGACAAATTGTCCCTCAATTTCATGAGTGTACCATAGGGAACGATAGCGGACTGAAACTAAATGATTATATTTTAACGGTGCTGAGGGAGAGTAAAAAGAGGGAGAGTGATTAAACGCATTAAAGTGTAACAAATTATCCAGCTTTTCTTTTGTATTTGGACGAGGCGAGTGAAGTCAAATATAACTGTGACTGGTGGATTCTGCATATTCGAGGGGTATGAACGATGATTATTATTTTGAATTGTTCGCAGGTTACGAGTCTATAACCTACGCAGACACTGTCATCATTTCACCAGCGATGTTTGTGCTCAATCCATTGTCGGACAAATTCACCGTGCGCCTCACCATCGCCAGCGATGGTAATCGGATCGGGTAAGTCACTTAAATAATGCGATATCGCCATGAATGTCACACCTGTCAAATGATACAAAGTTAATTTTAAGTAAGCTTCTTTGCGTTTAGCTGCTTGAATGTGTTACTTAACTCCAACGTAGGACGTTTCAAGCATTGAATGCTACGAATATGCTATCCAAATACATGTAGGACATTAATTGCTTGCTAGTGATAGTAAAACTTTAGTAGAATAACTTTTTACTAGGGATAGCTTACAAAATTTTTGATATATTGATACTGAAGCAAACATAAGAGCACTGATACTGTGTTGTATAAGAAAGGTGGTAGCCTACGCGAACGAAATTTTCCTTTAGTAATTCTTAATTTCACAAAAATATTTACTGCCTGACATACGATAAACTGGCTAACAATTTTTATTGTTTGCCCACACGCCTCCCACCAGGTCCAATCGGCACACTGTTAAAATCAACATTTTATATCTACTTAATTAAGGCACTAGTTAGTCAATGGATAGAAAAATGCTAACGGAGCTGCATATTAGCAGCTAATTTATAGTATTAGTGATACGTCGCGGGTACCAAGTGGTGCTTGGTGACTGTACAACCATCCAAGTGGTACGCAATATCAATAAGTTTTAAAAATCCTGCACCGAAGAGCCCTGACGCTTTCGTGTATTCTTTTTGTGTATCCTAACAGGTTTTCCCAAATCACGATCAAGATAAACAAACCACCCATCGGCGGCAATTGTAGTATTGCATCCGACAACAGTGCTTACTGTCTCCTGTCCACATTCACGGTATCATGTGATAAGTGGCAGGACCCTGAGGGAATAGGTATCGCCGCCTACAATTTCTATTATTTGGAACACACAACTGACGGGAAGACCGTCAAAGCAGCAATGGCCAGTACGCAACAAGACAAATTGTCTGCAGTTTTACCTTATGGGAATTTCAGCCTATACGTTGAGGTCTCTGACTCGTTTGGCGCGTATACCCTGTGCTTTATCGGTAACATCACGACCATCATGCCTAGCAAAGAAATGGTGGATGCGTACAACACGACTGAAACTATGAGCAATTATGCTTCGACGGGCAACTCCATTCAACTCACGATGTTCATTAAAGCACTGAACTCCCTCACAGCGAATGCCAAGTGGAGTGACATCTCAGACGATGCATTTAGCAACATAACTGCTGAAGAGAAAATGAACATAATCACAGAAATATCCGATTCCAAGTCGCATCAACTTCAATCGTTGAAGAACTTGGCCCCACCAACCACCATAGCCGAAGTCAACGTTTACTCGGATGTATTAGATAGCGTTGTGTCACTTATACTGAATGGTCAAGCTGGTTCAATGACAGTAGGTATAGACGCTCGAGAAGATTGCCTTTCTACTCTAGAAAAGATTTCAGGCTCCCTGTCTAATATGACCGTGAAATCGGCTTCTGAGTATGAGCCGTTCGTGAAGAGTGCCCTTGGAGTAATGACAGCTCTGATGACAGGTATGAATCAAATCTTGGAAGCTAGACAATTAATACCTCCCAAAGATATGCAGGCCGCGGCTGCGGGTGTTCTCGACTATGATGGGGCAATACCTGACGACCCAAACATGGTGATTCCGGATAAAATGAGTGACTTTTACAACCAAAGCATAATGGAGAGCACCATAAGGCAGAGTATTGGTCAATTGAATCGGATGAATGCAGTCGTCGAGTCTCTAAATATCCAAGTTGCTTCTAAACTAGTTGTGGGTCAATCGTTTGTAACTCGCTCCAACTCGAATGCGTCCTTTTATATCGGAAAAATTGGAGAAGAAACCTTGAGAGAAGGAATGGCTATCAGTTCTCCCATTGGCCATCAAAGTTCAGTCTTTCTACCAAAAAACTTTTGTCCCTCCAAATTTATTTATGAAACGTCAAAGTGTAGGGAAGAATTTGGACTGATGTTTGTGACATGGCCCGTCATCACGCACTTCCATCCAAAATCCCGAGTTTTCTTGGCAAGCTCCTCGAAAATAATCGAGCTTGAGGTAACTAGTAATGATAAGCCAGTGAACATCTCAAATGCCACTGATTTAATAAATGTAATAATTCCTCGGGATTCCGATGTACATTTGGACGCAGTGACGGTGAATGTCAGTGATAACATGAACAGAGCCATACCTCTGGTCTTCCATTATTTTAACATCACTTCGCCTCAAGCCGCGTACATGATAACTATTGATCCATTATCAAATGCCTCGCGCCTCGTTATTCTCGTCGCCCATGAAATGTTCCCGGTTCCTGGAAAGTTCCTCTTCAGCCGCTTAGTTGAAGAGCTGCCTTTCATTGATGATTCTCGTACACTCTTCATCGATTCTGACATGAACCGCAACAGGACTGGTCGATTTGTGGCCGCTATTGGAAAACTTCTCAATAACGCCCATCCATCTAATTTTACTAGAAAAGATCTAGATCCCAAATTTTCCTCACACTATAATTTGAAAATCACGGTCTTAGGATGTTACTACTACGATGAACCGTCACTCGCGTGGTCAACCGTGGGTTTGAAAGTGCTTTCCGCCAATGCAACGCACACAATATGCGGGACTAACCATCTTTCCCAGTTCGGATCAGGATTTTTGCCAATCGTGCATGAAATTGATTTTGATTTTATAATAGCGAACATGGGCTTCGTAGATAATTCTACTCTCTACGTCACTCTGATTTTACTTTTTGTCTTGTTTATCATAGCTATGATTTGGGGTCACTACAAGGACAAAAAAGATGTTGAAAGGAGAGGTGTTATCCCCTTGCCAGATAACAAGCCTGAAGACAAATACATTTACGAAGTTACTTTCTTCACCGGTCCTGACTCAGACGCTCCATGTGAATCTCAGATATACTTCATGGCGTCAGGCGATTATGACGAAACAGAAGTTCGTTTCCTGCCTAAAGCTAACTCGAACCTTTATCGCCGGTACGACAGGAACACATTTGTGATGACAACGGCTAGACCTCTCGGTTCTCTGCACTACTTGCGGGTTTTCATAGACAATAAAGGAAGGTTGCCGTACGACAGCTGGCAGCTTGAACGGGTCGTTTTCAGAGACCTCCAAAAGTCTAAGCAGTACACCTTCGAAACGAATGCCTGGCTTGCCCTCAACCGTAGAGACGGCTTGGCAGACCGGACATTCTTGTGCGCCAACAACAACGAAGACATGTCCACCTTTTCTCAAAGGATGTACAACATTACAAATAGGAATGCCAACCAAGACCATATCTGGATGTCGGTTTTCTTACGCCCCACTGGGTCCCGGTACTGTCGAAAAGAAAGGATAATGGTTTGCGTAACGTTTCTATTTGTTTCTATGCTTCTGCATGCAATGTTCTACGAGATTGAAGGTGAATCTCCCATTGATGCATATGCCTACATTGGTCCTGTTCCAATCGCTCTGTCTCAAATGATCAAAGGCCTTGCGGTGATCATTTTCGTCCTACCCTTCACAACGTTGCTTGGGGCCGTATTCAAGCGAGCGCGCCCTCGAAAGTATGTTCGATGCAGAGCTTTGGACGCCATCGAGAAACAACGTGAACGCCAATTACGAAAAAATGGATTGACACGGGAAGATGCTACGGAGAAGTCGAAAGTGATCGGAAAGCCTGAAGGAAGACGGACACCCAAAACAGAACCTGTGGTAAAATGTCTCCCTTGGTGGACAAGGCCTTTTGGATGGATTGTTTGTGGTGCAGCAATGACGGGGTCAGTATTCATGGTTTGGAGTTATGGCATCGCCTGGGGAGAAATAACCACCGTAAAATGGTTCTCTTCGTTCTTCACAACCTTCTTGGTGTCGATTCTGGTAAGCCAATGGCTGAAGGTTGTGTTGGTCTCATGCTTGGGCAGCATTTGCTGTGTTCCTGACCACTCTGTTGAGGACATCGACTGCGATGAGGAACTTCCCATGCTACAAGAAGACGAAGAATGGGCTTTGATGAGTCCCTTAGATCCATCCACTGTGAGGGACGTGCACAGAGTCGTTGGTGTAACTCACGACGATGACGCGACGAAGAAGCTGAGTGTTCAGCTCACCAAAGATCGAGACATGAAATTCATTGTACGTGGAATTTTCGTTTATTGTCTGTTCCTTGCCGTGCTGTTTATCATCGTCAACGACAAGACGGACATTAACGCATTCTTGCTGCAACGACACTTCAGTGGGACCTTCTTCGATGATAAATTCACAATGGATAACTTAGTCTTCCCAAACGAGGTATTTCGAACTGCGAACGTTATTTTAAGGATGATGCCTTATTGATGTTAACTAATGGACTTCTTAAGGCACGTATAACATAAAACTGTACAGAAGTTAGCATTGATTAATCATTCAACTATGAATCGTTGTGATGTCCTGTAATCTTTATTATCGAAGAGTATACTGATTTTTTATTGTGAAAATGCACTAATTTGAGTCTCATTTACACTGTGTATGCAGAATAACATTTTTCTACTTGTGAGGTTATTATGACATAAAATGGACAAAACGTATTACGTGTCAGAGCATGTGCTCTATCATTTTTCAATCATAATCCCGGTAGAGGAATTTTTAATAATTTTTCTGAACTGAATCGAAACCTTGCTTTTGTAACTTGAGTTTCACTGAGACCAAGTTCAGGAGCTGATTGTAGATTTCCAAGGAAGATTCTTGTATTTATAATTTTTATAATATATTTTCATTGCAGCTGCGAAACACGGACCATTTTTGGCACTACGCCAAAAATTTGATCATGAATACCTGTCGAGCACAGCGGTGGTACAACAATGATCCACCCTACGGTCTTCGCGGCTTCCTGGATGACCGAGCTAACCGCATGGTTGGATACCCCATCCTGCGGCAGATACGCAATGCCCGCTTTGTGTGCTCGGTGCCGTACCCTATGAACGAGACTATTCCAGACTGCACGGGTACTCGAGGCCTGCTTACGGAAGATGATCACGATTACTGTGCAAACTGGGTGCTCGGTAACGCATCCGATGTCGCGTGTAAATTCCCCGAGTTCAAGTATCAAAACGCGAGCCAACTAAAAACCTTAGCCACCGTTGGCCGTCTGGGAACTTATAGTGGCGGCGGATACGTTATCAGACTTGATGGCTATGAAGACGACGTCAACGAGAGGCTGGATCAGCTTCAAAAAGTGCATTGGATTGACAAGCGTACGCGAGCGGTGTTCTTGGAGTTCTCCGTCTACAACGCCAATGTGAACTTATTCATGACGTGTATGATTTGCTTTGAGGTGAGTGAAGGAGGCGGTATCGTCACTAAATGGAGGTTCGAACCTGTTCGACTTCTCCGACTGGAGAGCAGCGCCAAGGATAACGTCGCATTTTTCTGCGAGCTTATGTTCGTCGTATCAACAGTCTTCTTCACTTTCAGGCAATTGTGGGAGATAAAAAAACAGAGATGCGGGTACTTTTTCCAGTACTGGAACCTTGCGGAACTTTCTCTAGTGCTACTTTCTTGGCTAGAGATCGCCTTGTACATTTACAAGCTCCTACTCACTCTTGCCGTGGCGGATGAGTTTAATCGAACAAAAGGCAACGCTTACTTGCGAATGGACTACCCGGTATTGGTTGATCAATTTTATACGTGCATTCTGGGCCTGATCATGTTTGTATCGGTGCTCAAACTCATCAAACTCATGCAGTTCAACAAAAGAATGGACGTGCTGGCGCTTACCATTTCCCTGTGCTGGGATGAGCTGTCATACTTTCTCATTGCCTTTGTTATTATTTTCTTCGCTTTTTCCAGTCTCTTCTATTTTATCTTTTTCTTGTACTTGTTAGAGTTCTCTTCAATTCTCTCGGCTGTTCAGACCAGCTTCTCAATGATGCTCGGCAAATTCGATTTCAATGTAATGCAACAGGCAAACTCGCTGTCACCCCTCCTGTTCTTCATCTTCTCGGTGCTGAACAGCATGGTTCTCGTCAACATTATGCTCGCTATTATCTTGAAAGCTTTTAACGAAATTAAAGTTGATCTGAGTAAGAGAGAGAACACTTATGACGTCCTGGACTACATGTGGAAGCATTTCAAGAAGACTGCCGTGCTGCAGCCCAATGCCGTCAACCAAGTCAAAGTGAACTTGAACAAGAAGGAACGAGAGGGCCTACAGAGCGAGCGAGATTTCCCAGATAAGGTTAGTATTTACCTACGATTTATCGCAGAACTTTACAGATTAATTAGCCGAGAAATTTACACATCAATCTATTGTGGAATTCTGAACATGCAAGAATGTAAACGTACTTTGCCCGACTTTATCATTGGATATTATATGCTCAAATTTTGTTATTCGCAATGCCAAGAACAAAATATAATTCTTTATTGGTATTTGTTTCATACGAAGTTGGAAACATTGTGCCAATAACCGAAACTCAAATGATCACTCACAGCAACTCATAATGACTTGATAATGTCTAATAATTGATAATGACTAATAATGGCAGTTACTGCAGCAAATCAACAGCGTTCATTTATTGCAGTATTTCTACATTATGATATTAACTGCAGCAATAACGAGCAGGTGGGGCAGTTACTGCAGCAAATCAACAGCGTTCATTTATTGCAGTATTTCCTCATTATGATATTAACTGCAGCAATAACGAGCAGGTGGGGCAGTTACTGCAGCAAATCAACAGCCTTTACTTCGACGGCAAACTCGACCTCTGCAAGCCTGAGGCGGCGAAGACCGTCTTCAGCGTCGAGGACGACGCCCGCCCCCGCAGGAAGCTGAGGCCCGACGCCCGACGCGATAAGAAGCCCACGACCATCTTCTTCAGCGACTAAAACTGCGTGCACTCGAAAGATAGAAAATATATTTCACCTACGTTTCGAAATGCTATCTTTTTAGAACTAATTTCATCAGTGATATCTATCACATCCATTAAAATTAAATATAACACCACATAGACATCGAGCCTCTATATTAAATACAGTGTTGTGTACAGACCAAAGCAACAACAGTCTCTCCAGATAAAGTGCAATTCAAATGAGGCATTTAATGATTAAATTAATCAAACTGGTTTGAGTTCTTTGGTAATTCATACGTCTCCATTTTGCATCTGTGGCATTTTATTTCGTTGAACGTAATAATGTAATGAGTATATCCTCAGTATTTATCCATCACAAACGAGACTTCTTTAAACTTCAATTTACTGTAAAGTGGTCTGTGTAGACTAAAGTAGTTAAAAACTCCTGCCACATCTTGCCTGAACAATAATGCAAATTTTCCCGTATATTACTGTTCAAAATTCGACTCGTCGCACAAGCTGAGGCAAGATCTTTTGACAAATGCAGGACCAATTACATTGGGAATTTAATCAAACATCTCATTGAGTAATTTGACAGTCGAAGTAGTTTGCTTCTGCGTTCCGTGTGATTTATAGATTTGCGTTCTTCAGCACCAACCGGCAGAGCGTCACTGGGTTCTAGGGGCAGGGCCGCCCCCAAATTTTTTATCCATATTCAAGTTATTAATGATTTATTCATATTCAAGTTATTAATGGTTTCGAGAATATTTATTAAAATTTATATTCAGTCATATTCTACGGCATTTGTAAGCATTTTTTTGCAAAAATTTAAATGTTTTGACAAATGACCATTAAATTATTTTGAGGGTTTGAAAATATTTTAAGGAGGAATAAAGCTCACTAAAATGATCCTAATAACGCTGCTGTCACTAGGGTTGTAACTAAGCGTGTTCAATTTATTTCAAAGTGATTAGCTAGTATCAGCACAAATAAGTAAGGTAGCTAGTATGCCGCATACATAATTTTTTCATCCACGCACTTCGGACTCATTGAACAATTTTGAGGAGTCGCGTTTTACCAGAAACCAAACAAAGAAGATAATTGGACATGGTCGGATATCCACACTTGCAATGGTTTCCATAGCGCGACCAATGCTAGACTCTCTCAGTGGTTCCCAGAGTGGGCGGTAGTGCGGTACCGACTCCCTTGGGCTGGACCGATAGAAAGATTTGGAGATCTGAATTTCCCCATTGGTAGTCGTAACTCGTAACTAAGTCTATATGTGAAAGGTTCAAATTGTAGCATACCAAATATCAAGAAAGAGGTGTTTGTTTCCATATGTGTCTGTTGGGGGGCGCTAGAAATTCACTGTGGAGCCAATGGGGAGCCAGCCTGCAAAAGTTTGGGAGCCACTGCCGGCATAAGCGAGTGTAGCAAAAGGCTGCACAGCCTGCACTAGTCGATGAACACGATGGGCGGTTAGTGCAATTTGAAAAAAAAAACAGTTAGTGCACATTTTACAGTGTAACTTTTAGGTTTTGGGCAGTTAGTGAACTTTAAAATATAAAAATCGCAGGAAGTGTCCATTTACCCTAGTACCTACCACTTTGGGTTTTTGGGTGGTTAGTGTCACTTAAAATTGTAAGATTGCAGGAAGTGGCCATTTAACCAATTTTTTTTAGGTTTTCGACAGTTAGTTTATTTAAACATCCTAAAATTTTTGAAAATTTTAATTTAAGCTTATAAGTTTCAAATTTTAAGCGGTTAGTGTAAATGAAAAATGTACTGGAGGTGTCCATTTCACAGGGTAAGTTTTTAGATTTCATGTACACAAGTTTTTCTCATCCCGTGTTCAACTTACACTCGAGTGTTGACAAGTTTTTGTGTTTGTAATTTGTTTATGTTTCTCTACAGCTTTGAAGGTAGCCTATTATCTGAATTATTTAAAAGGGGATTTATGATATGTCAATGCAAATTTATGCAAACTCTTGAGTCACAATTTTCGTTTTCTTGAGTCACGCAATAAGTCCAGCAGCTATCTCAATCGATCGTCAGCTATGGAAAGATCGGGTTCCAAATGCCGGATCCCTTGTGAATCAAGTCACGAAAAGTTCAAGAATCGGCAACAGGCCATGGGCCTATTTCTTCAACGCCAACATTTATATTCTATACCCTGGGGCGCGATAATTTCTAACTACGGAAATGAGGATTCCCATACCTGCCTCCCCTCCCATGGTCCGCCCTCCTCTCCGGACCTTGCCATCATCAGTGATCATCTACTCCTCAACACCTCCTGGACTCCTCAAGTCACTCTCAACTCGGACCGTCTGCCCATCCTGATTCACCTCCCTTCCTCCACCGACTCTCCAACTCCCCGGGCCGCCCGCTCATACGCCAACTTTAAAAAAGGTGACTGGCCTGCCTACATGGCAGCCATCGAAGCGGTACTCGAGACGGTCCCTCCTCCCACCTCGTGTGGCGGTGCGTCGACCCTGAGAGAAGTCTTGACGACTGTTGCCAGCTAACATATCCCTGCCGGATTCCGGAAGGACTTCTCCCCCTCTGTCAACCTTGGCTCCCGGTTGCTCATCGAGCAACGGGATGAAATCAGGGCACGTAATCCAACAGACCCCCGGCTCCCAGAACTCAACCTGGAAATTAGTATTTCCATTCAGGTCCATGCCAGGAACACATAGCGAACACATCTTGCGTCGTGCAGCAGGCGTACAAACCATTCAAACAACTGGAATATCCTCCGCTCCCTAGCCGGAAGTGCGAAACCGCCCTTCCCAATCAGCCAATTCAATTTGGTCTGAATTCCCTCTCATCCCAGCGCAAGATCTCTTCTGCCTTCTGCAGGTTATTTACTTCGATTGATCCTCATTCCCAAAGCCCCTCCAGCCGTTGCCTCATACGTTGAATCCGGGCTGAACATCATCTTGATAGGGAGTTCTTCCTTTTCACACCCGACTTGGTGAAGCTCGCCATCGCAGGCGCCAACAACTCTTCCGCTCAAGGTCCAGATGGCCTCACGGTCCTTTATCTTAAGCACCTCGGCCCACGTGGTATCCCGTTCATCACCCGTATTTTTAACATCTCTGTCTCCACAGCTTCTATCCCATCCACTTGGAAAAATTCAATATTTATTCCAATCCTCAAACCGGACAAACCCGGAAACCAGGGCTCATCATACCTCCCTATTTCCCTCCTCTGCCCTGCAGCCAAGATCTTAGAGCGTCTTGTGCTCCCCTACATCTTAGGATCCCTCACTACCGTCCTCTTGCAACATGGTTTCAAACCGGGACACTCCACAATCACCGCCTCCTTCCGCTCGCGCACCAGATCACGACGGGTTTTAACTCTCAGCGCCCTCCAGCCCGCACAGTTGCCGCGGCAGTTGACCTCTCGAAAGCTTTCGACAGTGTCAACCACCCTCTCCTCCTAAGCATGATCGCGGCCTCGGACCTGCATTACAACCTGGTCCGCTGGCTATACTGCTACCTCCGAGGCAGGCAGGCATCTTGCCTCTACCTCAGAACTCAATCACCTAGCCGGCCCTCTTTAACCACTTCATCTCCGACATCCCAGTGCCGATCCCCAACATTGCATCATACGCCGACGACCTTACCATCTTTGTGACGTCCCCGATGCTCGACGCTGCGGAGGGCCATGCTCCTCCGCAGCGTCTCAGATTGGTTGGCTGACAAGAAACTGGCCGTGGCTCCTAGCAAGTCCTCGGTCACGCTCTTCACAAGAGATATGCACCAATCCCGATACCACCCTTTTGCCACTATCTGCAACGGCATAAACCCCCGAAAATTCTCGGCGTCACCTGGGATACGCTGCATACGCACTTAACTTTCTCCCCTCGTGCAAGAGCCGTAGCCACGGAAGCGGCGAGTTCACTTTGCATCTTGAAAGCCCTTGCTGGTACAACTGGGGCTTCTCCAAAGAGGACATAATTGCCACCTACCGAACCATCACGCGCCCAATCCTCAACTACGCGGCCCCCATCTGGTACCCTGTCGCCTCATGCACAGCAATTGCCAGTCTGCAAACAATACAAAACATTGAGACTAGCCACCAGCTGCCTCAAAATGGCCCTGATAGCCCATCTTCATCAGGAGACCGGCGTCCTCCCTTTGTCCGCGCACCTGGACCTGGCTTGTGCCCCCCAGATCCTCGTCAGCGCCCTACAGCCCTCCCATGCCTCATTTTGCATGGTTTCTGCCCCACTCGGAGACCGCCTCATGAAAGTCTCCATCCAGTCAAGGTTCGGCCACCCTGTCACAACACTTTTGGCAAATGATACCGTCAAACGGGGTAATAAGGGACGGGCGGGGTAAATCGGGACGCGCGCCCCACATTTCGTAGAAATGTTGTAGCAGCTAAACTAATCAAAATATTACAAAACTAAAAACAGTGGCGTAAACTTCAACATTTTTACTATCTATTATGCATAAAGTTAGTTTAGAAATCATACATTTACTATCTTTAAAAAATTGCTGAAAAAAGTGTGAAACGGCGATTTTGGAAAAGTATCTCTACTAAGGTCTGAAGCAAAAAAAAAATATTAGACGTATTAAAAAACTTTACTTCCATACTTCCATAAAAGTTGCACACAGGTGTCAGCTTGAAAATGTTACTGACGAAATTTGCCTATCTCATTAAAAAAAATGGCAGCCTTTTCCGAGCAACGGGGTTGATAGGGTTTTAAATAAGACAATTGAATTCTATAATTTTATGTTTAGAGGAAACCAACTTCTTGTTTACGTCCGCTATTTAGGAGCTCTAGATGGGTGCGCAGCCGTGGGTCGCCTGCCGGGGAAGCCTGCCGAAGACCACCACTGCCCTGGATGTAATGGACCATCATGATTAATGCCTTCCGGAACGTCGCCTTCAACACTTCAAGCCGTCCGTATCTAGGCCGTGGGTCAAACCAGCCCTCGGTCGAACGCCCGCGGGTCGAACGCTTCAGCCGAGTGCTAACCCAACCTAACCTAACCTAACCTGACTCAGCCAGTCGCACGGCTCTTTACAAAATTGGTGGTGCACGGCTGCGCTCCCCGCAGCTGTAGACCACCAAATTAAAGCTCAAATCAGCCCTAGAGCCAACATCAACCATCTAAATGCTATAGATATTGTCATTCTGGCACCTAAGCAGCTGTATTCAATTGATCTAGGTATCTCACCACACAAACTTTAAACCAACACTGCTTCAGCACACAAGCAGTTACTCCACATAGTTAACGGTCAATACGTTGTTGTCCAATGCTTTATAACCCATACCATCACTTCTTACACTTGCTGTTATCCTAAGTGTCCGCTGACCACACTGCATTGCCGCAAATGTGAACTGTACCAAACGGTAATGCGTCATCACCTTACCTACTCCGCAAGACGTTAACCCCGCGTCACTGTTTCCCTGCCAGGACTGCCTTACTTAAGTTACTATCCCCCAGCATCTTCTTCCCCCCACACTTACCCCGACTCTCCACCATTATTGCATGGCTAACTCAGTAACTGGAGGCTTTCCCCGCAGACCTTTGATGCTTAGCCAAATTAGGTTAGGTTAGGTTACAACTCGTATAGATCCTCTTTTCATAGCGTAATGCAGTCGAGCAGAAACTAAGAAAAGCCATCCGGCAGTCGATTAAAAAAGGTGGGCAGACAGGGTAAGCGTGAAGGTAGAGTTATGCTA